TTTTTTTTTAAAAAAAAGGTATCAAGCTCTTAAAAAATCACCCGTTAGCTTGTGTGGCTCACAGCGTCTAATGTTTAAAGATATTTACAAATCACAAAATTAAGGAATTCAAACAACTAATTGTTTAAAATCACAGTTCGTTCATTGTGCACACAGACAAATCGATTATTGCCTATTAATTAGTTTGCCTTCGATTCTTACTACTATCCCGTAGGTTTGTATACCACACTGCACAGTGTGACGCAACTGGTAAAATACGAGATAAATTCAACTGATCATGAGCTAAGAATCGAAATCTTCAAATGTTGCGGTGTTTCTTTGTTCAAATTTAGTTGAATGGTGGCCATTTCACTTGACCCTGAAGTCACTAGTGGTTTTGGAAAAGTGGAAAAAGAATATAGTCTAAGCGATAAAAGTTATAGCTGTGATATTTTGGGGATCACTGGACCTATTCAACAGACTATGTACTTGTTTCTAGACCTAAGTGGTAGTCGATGCCACCCAAGTCGATGCGCTAAGACCGGTGGAGATGATACCGAAGTAAGCCGAAAAACCAACCTATTCTAACCAATTTGTATACCTAAGCGCACTTGCTTATAACAACCTAAGGAAATCGAGTAAGATATAGACATATAAACGTCAAAATGCAAAGAATGAAGAGAGAAGCCGATTAAGACATATCTGCATGTCCGTCTGCATGTATGTGTTCACGATAACTCAATCAAAAGTTGAGATATCTCAAATGTAAATTTCCGTTTAACCAGGGTGCGTTAGTCTCGAAAATGGGCGAAATCGAACGGTCACCACGCCCACTTTCCATCCTGGCATTTTTGAAAAATGCAAAAACTATGATATTTTCGTAGACACTACATCCAAAATGATTAAAACTTAGTAGATTATGCTTATGATACAATACTGTATCAGAGTAGTCGCTTCATCAACTTTCACCAAACTCGGTACGAATATTGCTTATAGTATAACTAAGAAACCTGTCGAAATTTTTTGAAATCGGGCAATGAGAACGTTCACCTAGATAGCTCAGTAACTACTGAAGCTAATTCACTCAAAATCGATATATATTTCAAGCAAGAATATTCGTTAAATTAGGATTTTTATTTGTTCGGTAAAATTTGATCGTTATTTTTTGATTTTAATTTTTTTTCGATAATTTTTAACAGTTTTAATGGAGACTGCGTGTTTTGGCCGCAAATGTTCTAACAAATGTCATCTGGTTTTTGCTCTGTAAAAGCGAAGCATGATCATGGCTGTCCCGTAATATTTTAATGCTTCTCACAGAGAGTTCGCCTTTCGATGTCCTTATAGGTTAGTTTAGGGTTCGTTGTCTGGCTTGCTTCCCATTTATAAGTATAACTCGTTTTTCGCTCACTGCTCATTCCGGTATGTATATTTAGTTAAAGCCAAAAATGTTGGGAAATTTTTTTTATTGTTTTATCTGAATTTATTTTTTGTTGTACATAGTTTTATTCAATACTAGCAAATGAACACTCGGCGCCTTAAAATCGTGTTTGTGTTGTTACTCCCACCCAAAACTCGTATGGCCTCATTCATAAAAACTTTATGTAGAGCTTTAGGAGGGGAGATTTTCTAACAAATGTTTGATTTATGAAGCATTCTTTTCTTTTTATAAATGTGGGCATTAGTTAATATTTTCGAAGGTATTTAGAAAGTAGGTAGAATATCCGCTTTCTTATGAAAATTCAATTTATAATTTATAATCTTTCTTTCTTTTTCTTTCTCTCTCTCTTTATAATCTTTCTTTCTTTTTCTTCTCTTTTCTTTCTTCAAAGGTGTACTAATTAGATATTTTCCTTATCTTTTCAATTTAACTGAATTAAACTTTTTAAATAAATTTAACTGAATTGAACTTCAAAAAATATGCTGGACAGTAAACTTTCTTAAACTTCTTAAGTTTAACACCAGTATTGTAATATTTCATTTATTTTCGGCAGTAAACCTTCCTAAACCTCTTTAGTTTGATACACATATTGTAATATTTAATTTATCTTATCAATAAAATTAAAATTTTCAAAAGGTGGCAGCCTTAAACATTAATTTTTTCGTCTTGTGAGGCTTCTTAAACCTCGTTCTTTTGACAGCCATATTGCAAAATTTAATTTATCTTATGAATTTGCTTAAACTGCAATTTTCAAACAGGTGGCCACTCTTTAAGTTTCTTTTCTTCTAAATTTCAAGTTAAAATTGTATTATAAGTGTGTATTATTTTATTATATTTAACTTAATCTAATTAAACTAAATTTAAACAAATCTAATATAATTAATTTTAATTTAATCGTTATTTTAACTCGTAAATTAAATATTTGTAAGGGCTGAAAGTATGCCTTTATGAATAATTAAAAGACGTGGACATTTTTCTTTTTGCTCTTCGGAAAAGTCTCACTGTACACCAACGCCTGCTGTGTATTGGCCTTTTCTATTTACTTCCCATGCGTTCTCTATGGATTTTGCAATCTTAATTACAATCGATTTTTCATTTGTTGTCCCAATTGTCTGCCAGTAAATATATTAGCAGAAACAACGTATTCGGTCTCTCTTTTCTATGACTTTTTTGCTGCCCTTTGTCGCAACTGTTTGTATCTTTTGCCTTTGCCAATTGTCATAATAGCTATATCATAATCCATAAAATGTTCTTATTGTTTCACTCATCTGCACAAAAAAAAAACACACACACAAAGTTGCTTGTATGAGTGAGTTATGAAGGACTACAACGGAAATCAAAACAAGCAATTTATTTTATTGTTCATCCTTCTTTGGTATCATATTTTTTGCCGCGTGGCAAAAAGTCAAATTTTCTTTTTATGGACAAATATTTATACAGTTCAAATACTTACATATTTATATACATACATACATACATAACTACATACGGACATAGTACACACAATTTTCGATTTTGCATGCTTTGTAAATGATAAAAAAAGAAGATATTTACATGTTTATGTGAAGATAACCAGAATACCAGAAGGAAACTCTTAAAATGCACTTTAAAAAAGGTCTACAAAATCGACGTTGGGACTTTATGTAGTCAACTTCGCGGCATTCATGGAAACTAAAGAGTTATCCCAGCTACCATGAGGCAGTCGTTTCGTTTTACAGTTGCCATAAATGGAAATCGACGGGGAGCATCTCAGTTGATCTACCAGTTTTGATCCTTATGACTCCATTACGTCTACATCTGGATCAAAACCCTTAGTTCGCATGATATCATTTTTTAAGCCAAGCAATTTCACGTTCAGTGAATGTCAATGACCTCTGGAAGTCGTTTAAAAGGGTCATATAGAGGTTAAAAATTCGGGGGATAATTTTTATATCATTCTTTTGTATTCTTATAGAGAAATATCCGCTAATTTCGAAGCTCTCACAGTGGATATTATGTGTAAAAATTGGCTAGTTAATTGGATTTTGTTTGAGGGCTGAGAGCACCATTTTAATACACTTTCTCCACGTTCTCTGGTATTATCTGATTTCATGATAGTTTCGTCAAACCTCTTGAATTTGTCGATGAATCTATTTATGTTAGTAATTGAGCAGTTAGAAATCTCCGTAAAGATTCTGAATGAAGTATCTCCCTAGAGTGTCATGCCTTATGCGAGCCAATACTGGGCGCTCGCGAAGATATTTTAGGACCGTTTCCTTACTTCCCTCTAGATTGCACCTGCGATACCATGGGTTGTACAGTAGAACCATTTTTGGCTAGATAGTCAACCTGACTGTATCTTTTCTCGACAACTTTAGAAGTTATTCTGTATTTGGGTCGTCATAATGCGGCCATATATTCCTCACAGTTTGGCAGGTATGAAGGTTTTTCCAATGTGTATCAGCCACACGTGCAAATTGCAAGTACAGTGCCCTTTCGATAAGTCCGAGTGTACAGCTTATCAAGATATGCTCCAGTCTTAGCCATTTCATATGCTCTCTCATTTCCATGTATTTTCCTATGTCTATTGACACGGTAGTCGAACTTAATGCGGTGGGATAAGTGCCAGAAGCGCCGCTTGGTTAACTGAGCAAAATGTATGATTTCCGTACTCCTTCGCATTTACTCTCTAATGCTCCCAGCACTTCTCCTTGGAAGATGCTAGCAAAGTTCGTTAGTTGGAACAGGAGAGAGGCATTCAACGTCTCAGAGAATACCCCCCCTTCCCACACCGAAGTCCGTTTTGGATCCGTCAGTATAAATTTCAGTCAAATTCTCCTCGACTATCCTGCCCCCACTCCAATCCCGTCTAGAAGGAAACTTTCGCTGAAATATTTTTATCAAAAATTTTTTATAGACCGGTTCATTACTCCTCTCTACGGAAGTCTTCATTAAAAGGCGAAAGATTTATTCGACAACTGAAGAAAAGTTAAGGTTCTCCTATTCCTTCTGCAGTGACCTAAGATAAAGGTAGTTTAAAATTACAATATCCTTCTACGCTAATGGACAGGTTCATATAGCTTCTATTATACAGACGCATGCTAGACTCTGCAATTTACCGAGCGCTGTGATGGCTTCTCACTCAATATTTTACTGTATATAAATACAAATAAATACTTTTCAGCTTATTCATGTACATACTATAGTATGCATATTAATATGTAATTTGTGCACCCATCTGTTGTGTATTAAATAAATAAATAATTAAATCATTTTCGTATTATTCTCACTTACACTTGTCAACACCTTCCATAAGAAGCACGCTGCTTTCCACCACCAACCACCATACAAGCGATAAAATTTAACACCCAAGTCTTCCGTTCATACATCCTTTCAGACAATAATAAACAAACCGAAAACAAAAATTCGAAATGAAAATAAATAAACGCACATCATTTAGTAATAAACTTCTGCTACCTTTTTGTTTGCCATATTTATTTAACTTGTTGTTGTATGTAGTGTTATTGAGTCGCTTTCCTGTGGCGCATAATCCCACATGATTAATTATCACAACCTGATTTGCAAAGTTGCATATCAGCAGCTTGTCGGCTGGTAATCTCTGCTAAGCTCAACTAGCTCATCCAAACACATGATGCCCGAACGTCTCTGGCTATAGCAAAATTTGCTTTTGACTTTGGTGTATCCTGCACAGCAGCAGAATCAGGCCCAGCGGTCAACCAACCACCAACATTGACTGCAGCCACATAGAAGTGTGCTGATGTGTGTGTGTGTGTGTGTGTCAAAGCGCCCACCGCCTTTTTATCTTTAAAAATTAATTGTCATAACATTTGTTACGCTACTATCCCTTTTTTTTATTACGATTTGATATTGTCGCTTTGTAATCGCTGGTGTTGTTGTCATTGCATGGTTGCTGTTTTTTAAATTTCCGACAAGCAATTCAATTTTCACACTTTTCAAGTTGTTCACAGCGCGCCGAGATTGCGAGCGTCGTTCCCGCGGGATTCACCACCACCACGCCGAGCGCAACGCAACATTGCCTCTGAAACCCTTCCACTCTGCCATTGCTTTCCTCATCTCTATTATTAAGTAATAAAATTCTGCCACTTGTGCCCTCAGAGTCAATCAGCATTCCTTCGACAAAAAGGGGATGCAAGTTATACGATGCCACTTGCGCTGGTAGAAAATTCGAGCAGACCATTTTTTATGGTACTCAACCTGTCAAAACAAAATTTGATTGAGCGTTTACACAAACAACAACACACCATACAAACTTTGTATCGGAACTAGTCTGCACATGTGTATGTATGTATGTATGTTTGTATAAATATGCACTCAATACACTCAATTAGCTGCTTGACTTGACGCTTAGCAGCGCTGATAAGTATGTTATGGGCACCAACCAGTCGCTTGTTGTGGAAGATTGTGCTGGTGCATTGAATATAAGTGGGTTTACTTACATACATACTGAAATGATAGGACGTTGTCTCACACCCTTTGCCAATGAAGCTTCAGTTTTTTCTGCTTTTTATCGAAAAAAATGCTTGTATTCTAAAAGCATAGACAGACGGGGCAGCGTTGATCTGGATCAACGCGTTAATTCGGAGTTATCTCGGGAACTAACAGAAGTTGATCCGGATTAAGGCGGATCAGGGAAATTTTCGATGACAGCAAAGCAAGTGAGTTGGCGTCTATGGTAGGCGAATGGTGAGAGCTACGTACTACAATTCCATAGGGCCTAGGTTCAAGCGGATTGCCAAAAATTTTGTGTTTTTATTTTTTAAATTTTTATCTTTTTTATATGTTATTTTACTTTCTTATTGTTCTTTTCTTATTTTTGTATTCTGTTTTGCTTTTTTATTTTTATTTATTTTTTTGTAACTTTTTTTTACTTAATTTTATGTTGTTTCACATTATTTATTTTATTAAAAATTGTAGACTTTAACTTTATTAACAAGTCCGCAACAACTACCTAACAGCACAATTAGAAATAAATAAAAGCAGTAATTTAATGAATTGAAAAAAAAAATTAAATTAAAATTCTTCTGGCTGTGAGACCTAAACGCATGACCTTGTTAATCCCAATTACTGCCGTCTGTCAGGGGACAATTTTGATCTACCTGTCTACGCTATAAGGGAATTCGTATTGTCTTTGCGTGACTGTGTGTGACAGGCGGCCGCTATGATGTAGTGGTTAGAAGTGCGCACTACTATTCCGCAGGACCTGAGCTCGATCTCAGAGTCCGACTAACAACAAAAACAAAATAAAAGAAAAAGTTTTTTGTAATAGCGGTCGCGCCTCTTTAGGCAATGGAAAGTGTATTTCTTCCTCGAAAAACAGCTTCTCATAAAAATACAATCGCCGTTCGGAGTCGGCGTGAAATAGGGGGGTCTCCACTTTGTGTGACAACAAGCCGCACGCTACAAATTGAAGGAGAAGCTCGGTCAAACACTAACATATTTTGTAAGCGCCAGTCTATTGACTGTCAAAGAAGATAAAGGACTCTTTGTTCCTTATTGGTCTCCTGGATGGCAAAAACTTTTTCTTGATACCCCCGTGCCCCGTTGATGTACCTAGGATAACTGTCCAAGGGGTTATCTTCGCCTTTCTCAGGGCTCTTTTGCACTTCCCAGTGTTGCTCACTTTTGGAAGCCGTTGCTGGATTGACGGACTTCCTGCTTAACTTCCGCAGATCTTTAACTTCCTGATTCCACCAGTATTGTTTGCTCCTGCCTCTACGCTTCTTAACTGGTCAAGCTTGGTTTATCGACTTGCAGCATGCGTCGGTAAACCGGTCTGTCACTTCCCCTAGTTCCATTCAATTTTCCGGTGTACCCAGTGATCGGAAATCGAGTGCTCCTGAAGAGCTCTCCAGTTCTGCATCGACTCTTCCACGTCCTCTGAGACCAGAGAGTACCTTTTAGTAACTCCTGTCGATTTTTGGTGATAAAGGATATTGGTTGAAAAGTGGCTCACCCTTTTCATTGAGGTCGCTGCATCCCCAAGACTCCTGAACGAGGACAATTCCGATGAAAACCGAAGCTTTAATGCAACTGAAGCTGCTTTACTGTAGTGCAGGTTTATTTGCTGTATCCGCACCATCTTGACTTCTACAGACTGACTCCTCTGCTGTTAAGAGTTCGCTGTGTAGTCTCCTCTGTGTACCACCTGAGGATGTGTATGATGCACATTCATCCATTGGATCGTCAGGTCTGATCAGGCTGCTCCTACAGCTCAACCTCACTTATCGCCACGTCGACCTCCAACAGGACCTCGGCAATCAGGGTTGTGCCGCATACAGGTGACCGTGACCCTCACAATATCAAACCGGAATTGTATGACCCCGTCTGTTCTATCCAGTGCCGGCGGAGGGACCTTGTTGAGCATAAGCACCACCTGACGGGTAGCCCTACTGCTCGCCCCAAATTTTAGCGCCCCCTGTTTTGAGTTGAAGAGCCTGATAATATCCAGAATTCTGCTCCTCCTCTGGTTTCGACGGCAGCCAGACCTCGACGGCCAAAACAACCATAATTTGAAGTCGGCAGCCCTCACCCTCGCCTAAACAGCCGACCGCACCTTTGTACTGAGTCGCAGACCATTCGTCGTCACACGCCAGGATTTTTATACTGCACTGGAACCTTCCGGCATTCCTGTAGGATGGCGGCGGCCCAGGGTTGTTAAACAGCACCTTCCCTGTACCAGACAACACATGTAAATATCCAGTAAGTAAAATCTAGTTTCTTGAAAGTGGAATGAACTCCAAACAAGCCAATGATTCAAGCCAACAGCATTTCTACTTGCTTTCGGACTATAAAATTTCTACCGAAGAATGATTCAATTAAGCGTTTTGACACCTTTAAGAAATCTTCAAAATCGCTTCACCGATTTCTTTGCAGCTGTAAGCATTTTTACTGTTCTGCCATAATCACTTAATGCTCGTTTTATTTTCTGATTTTTGAGCTCTTTTTCCACATCGTTTTTTTTTT